TGCTGGCTGGGGAATTCTGGGAGTTGAAGTCCACACGTCTTCAAGCTGCCAAGGTTGAGAAATGCTGCCTTAGAGGAGTTATTTCTCACTTTCCATCTATGCACCTTTCACGCAGGTTCTTCCTGACACCTTTCCACAGTCCTTAAAAAGATCTGGGTGGGTGCTGAGTCACCGGCAGGATGGGACCGTCTCATCAAAATGAGAAAGTGAACATGGCCCCAGAGCAGCGCAACGTCGTCCTTTTGCCGAGGCCTGCCGTGTCACTACACACGCACCAAAGGGGTGGGGCGATGCTCCCTTTGTCATTGCGCCATTTGCCCTTCCCACCAATGCCTCTGAAGGGAGGGGTTCCTGGTGAAAAAAAGCAGTGCCCCTCGTTTGCACATCAGAATTTGCACATTTGCACATCAGAGATCAGCTGGTTCTCCTGCATTTTCCTTTTTGTCGCTGTTTATCAGGGGTGTCTATGATGCAGGGTCAAAAAAGTCAAGATGGTGGTCATGACCTCATGATTGAAGGTCCACCTGTTTTTCATGGGCATCCCCTGCACATTGCACATGAAACAGGGGTGGGGCTTTGTTTGCGCAACAACAGCTGGCATCTTGAATTTTTTACACCCCTTTGCAGATGCCCCACTGATTATAATGTGAAATTCCCCATAATGCTCCCGGGACAACGCTAGGCCACCAATGTAGCATTATTCCAAGGGCATTCTGGGAAAAAGATGGCATTCTATTAGACAGTTTCTCTCTTTCCTCTATTCCAGAAGGATGCGCCTCGCTATCACCAGCATCGTTGCTTCTGCTCACCTCTGCTGGGGGCTGCATTCAGACCACACACTCAACTTGGTTAGGCATCAACCTGGCTTAGCACGCTGTGTGAATCTAGCCCATTTGTTGGTTTATGGTTCAGCGTATCGGGCGAACCCAGAAAAGGGGTAACCAGATGAAGCATGCACCGATGCGCCATTGTATTCATTGCCTTGCATAAGATTTGACGCGTGCTCATTATCGTGTTGGATTTTGTCCAAATAAATTTGAATTCTTCCATCTGTTCACATGACAGAGTAGCATGTGGGGGGTGGGGTCACTTTGGAGTCAGGCAGCACCAAGATCAACTCAACTCAACTCAACTCAACTCAACTCAACGCAACACAACTCAACTCAACGCAACTCAACTCAACGCAACGCAACGCAACACAACTCAACTCAACGCAACTCAACTCAACGCAACTCAACTCAACTCAACGCAACTCAACTCAACGCAACTCAACTCAACGCAACGCAACGCAACTCAACGCAGGTAGGTGACATGTTTGTATATCTGTGTATATAAAAGATTTTTAAAGAAATAAATCTATGTCTTGGGAGCTTTCTGGAGATGCAAATGTCCTAGCTTGCAATCCTGATCTGATTGTGGCAAGCCAGTTTGCCCTTCCCTTTTTGTCCACCATTTCCAAACTGAAATCTGAAAACATTTTAAATGGGCTCTTACGAAAACAGCCCTGGCCCCATTCCTTCCCATGTGGGAGAGCTGATGTCTTTCCCGAAATAGCAGCCCCAGCCACGCTCTGCCCGGATGCAGGCCAAATGGGTCCTAAACGGGCCCTACATTATAACTCTGCCTTTCTGACTCGCCTTTGATTTCGAAGGAGAAGACAAGAGAGGAATTAATCCTGAACGATATAGCCAGATCAGTGCGGGAAGGAAGAGCCGGATGCGGTAATCTTCTTTCATGCCTGAGAAGATCCCCCTTGCTCTGAGCAGAGTTTTCCCCACGCAAAGGAAGCCCTTGCTGACTTCTCTGCCGCTGCTCCGAAGCCAGCAAACAGCTGGTATTGATCAGGGAAAGCCCAGCCGGAGCAAACAGTCTCGTCTTCCGTTTGCCCAGGGTTTGCTATCAGCCTTGCATCCTAGCGGGGAGCTGGGCTTCCAGGAAGCCGTGATTGCCAGAAAACCCAGCTAGCATTGGCCGGGGAGGTGACCATCTATATGAAACAGGAAAAGCATGCATCGAGACAGACTCTGGGCTGGTTGTTAAGGAAAATTGGTTCGATAAAGGAGTTGGATAGTTGTACCCCTGAAGCCACCCCCTTCCTGGGGCATTTCTGTCCCCTGGAATAATTACATAGATAGCAATGCTAGAGGTGCTTCCTGAATTTGCAGTTTATTTATTTAGGTCAATGTTTTTCAAACTTGGCAACTCTAAGGTGGGGAGTTAAAGTCCACACATCTTCAAGTTGCCAAGGTTGAGAAGCCCTGATTTAGGCAAAAGACTTGTATGGCTACCCGTCTTGTGCATCACAACTCTGGGTGGCTCACAAAACTGTAATAAAACTCATCAGAACAGTATAGCAAGGGGGGGGGGGATGGAAAGAAGAAAAAAATGGGGTGGTGAGATTAAAATCGAAAGAGAAAAAGACTTGCATATCAATACAACCAAGTGAAAAGTACATGTAGAAAAGGAGGGAAGATCTGGTGAGGCATATATGTGAACATGATCTCAGTGTCTCAGTTGGTGACCCAATGAATATAAGCCAGTTGCGCAGCACTGCAGCAAAAGACGCTAATGCAATTGTAGGCTGTATTAATCAAAATTGCGTGTCTGGACAGGAAACATGTACTCTAGTCTGGGTTAGGTTCCATCTGCAACTGGTTTTAAAGAGATCGGAAAACTCAAGCATCTTGTGAGAAAGATGACCAGGATGGAGAATGGGGAACCTGGAAGAAAAAAATTAAGGCAAGTCCAGATTCTTACTCAGACAAGTTGGGAAACAGGAGTTCTCTGTTATCCAGAGCAAGGCCAGAGGCATTGGGTAGAAACTGCAAGGAGGTAGATTTGGAGTAAACATCTGGAGAGCCTAAGTAGATGTTGTTGGAAGGGGCACAAACATCTTGGAAAACGGTGGGCTTTCTTTCCCACAAGGATTTGAAACAAAGACTAAGGTGGTTGCAAAACACATCTCCCCCCTAGCAACAGAGGGGCGCAGGCAATAAAGCCATACCCCCCTGAAAACATTTGGGAGAAATGCAGAGGAAGCAGAACCGATTCTATTAATTAAGATGAAATGGCACGTCAGTCTTTTAAAAAGTCTTTGGAGGGGGCCCAGAGTCTTAGACCCCCACAGAGGCGATGGGTTTCCTTGCAACTCAGTTGCTGGGCAGATATCGGAGTGTGGAAAACGACACCAAACAGAACGATGCACGGAGCAGCCGGCTTGAACAAGCCCCCCTACCCCAAAAATTCCAGAATTGCACAATTATCTAAAGCACCGCATATGGATTTTCTTAAAAATCACACCACATCACTCACTCTTGGGTTGCCCAGTTGTGAGCGTGTAACCTTCGATCTGAAACATGAGCTCTTGTAACGGGATAGGAAGGTGAAGGAGGGAGGCAAGCATCAAATTCTTGGGAAGGGGTTTTGCTGTTTATTGTCTTTTTTTCTCTCCCCCCCCGCCCCCCAAGCTCTCTTTTTGGCAGGGCAGGCCCACATCGCTCCTGAAGCCAGCAGAATGATTAAAAAAGAAAGAGCTGTCGAGGAAGGGGGTGGGGGCTGTCAAAAAAAAAAAGAAAAAGAAAGGGGGAAAGGAGGAGGGCCGCCGGGAGAAAGGAAGTTCTAATTTCACAGACCGCGAACGCGTTCAGAAGACGGAGCCAGCGGGACCTGCGGGAGGACCGAAGGCGGCCCCGCTGGCATTGGCGGGCTCTTGCGCCCGTCCCATTGCGCCGCAGCAGAGGGTTTCAGCCAGGGAGGAGACGGCGAGGGCCGGCGGGGGCTCTCCCTCGGCCCCTGGCCGCCATG